CTCTCTCTCTCCCTCTCGCTCTCCCTCCCTACTCTCTCTCCCCTCCGCTCTCCCTCCCCTCCGCTATTTCTCCCTCTCTCTCTCTCCTGGTGCTTGGTCCGCTGGGAGGGGCCTCGCTATAAATCAGCGTGGCGGGTAAAGGATCGGCGTTATTCAGAAAACAAACTTGTTTGACATGAAAAAGCGAAATGGCGATGTCACCGTCGATTTATTGCCGGTTGCAACCACCCTACCCATTAGCTGGAGCTGCTCGCATATATGTATTTATATATATATATATATATATATATATATATATATATCTGCTAAAGATTATAGTTCGGCGAGAGTAAATACATAAAATAAACAAAATAAAATAAATAAACAAACACACATACAACATATATTGACATGGACGTAGATAGATATATATATATATTATATATATATATATAACTTATATATGTATATATATAATATAGTATATATCATATATATATTTAGTTTATTTAGTTTATTATTTATTTTTTATTATTATTTAATCTTAGTGTACTTTATATAATTCATCTTAATTGTATGTATTATTTATTTATGTATATATTTTTATTCCGTAGTCCTGGTAACTCTTTCTGGAGCAGCGCCGTCCTCGACAAACTGTGGCTTTGTTTGCTTTTGGTTTCTTTACGAGGCACGTTCTTTGTCCAGTAAGATGGTTAATATAATATATTAAATTATTATTATAATATAGCCTATTAATTATATATATATTATATAATATAAGTATAGTAATACTAATATATATATATAATTCATACATAGTGTGTGGTGTGGTGTGTGTGTGTGTGTGGTGTGTTGTGTGTGTGTGTGTGTGTGTCGTGTGTGTGTGTGTGTGGTGCGTGTATGCGTGTAAGACCGCGCCGCAACCACCGACACGCCAGTATGTTTCTCTCTCCCGGGCGAGTCTACTGTCCCGCTTACCTGGCCGCTTACGCTGGCCGCGCCGACTCCCTCACCCATTAATAGTCGTGTCGTACATCACACCCCAACCCGACGCAGCAGCAGTTAGCAGTAGTAGTAGTAGCACAGCAGCAGGCAGTAGCAACAGGCAGTAGTTGTAGTAGTAGCTAAGTAGCGCAGCATCAGTACCAGCAGCACAGTAAGCAGCAGCAGCAGCAGGCAGCAGCAAGCAGCAGTAGCAGTAGCAGCAGCAGCAGCACACAGAGCAGCAAGGCAAGCAGACAGCAGTAGCAGCAAGTACAGCAGTAGCGACAGCAGTCAGCAAGCAGCAGCAGGCAGCAGCCACCACCACTTCCAGGCATCAACAGCAGCTCAGTAGTAGTAGGCACACTACCACCAGCGCACCACCGGCAGCAAGCAGCACAGCACCGACCACCAGCGCAACCAGTAGCGGCAGCAGCAGCAGCACAGCAGCAAGCAGCAAGTAGCAGCAGCGCAGCAATCGGCAGGCAGAGCAGTAGCAGCAGCAGCGAGCACAGTGAGTTAGTAGCAGCACACCACCGACCACCAGCAGGCAGCAGCAGCAGCAGCAGCAGCAGACCCACCACCAGCCAAACAACAGCATCGAGCATGCATCAGCAGCAGTAAGCAGCAGCAGGCACCACCACCCGACCACCACAGCAGAGCAGCAGCAGCAAGCAGTAGCAGCAGCATACCAGTAGTAACACCACCGCCACCAGCAACACCACCGAACCACCACGCAGCAATAGCAGCAGCAGCAAGCAAGCAACAACAGCAGTAACAACACAGGCCGCCCACCACCACCACGCGCAAGCCACAAGCAGATCAGTAGGTGGCACAGTAGCAGCCACCACCAGCAGCAGCAGCACAGCAGCAGCACCAGCCACCAGCAGCCAGTCAGCACCAGCCCGCACTGCGGCTGCGCACCCGGCAGAGCCGCCATGAAATCATCGCTTCTGTCGTGGCACGAGCCAGCACGGTACTGGACTAGGATCGAACCGAGCGTCGGAACCCTGATCGTAAAACTATTCAATCGTCTCTCTACCACGCCCGCCCGCGAAAATACGTCGCCTCGCCCGACCACGTCCACACGAATAAATATCACCTGATGGTGACACGGCGACAGAGCCGTGTGTCAACCACACTGCGACGCGCTCGCGTCTGGTGCTGCTTCATGTGTGTTTGGATGGCGAGGAGTTTTGGGCCCAATGTGCGTTTGTGACGACTGCGCTGGCAAGCGCTAGATTCACAGCGCTATAGTGATCTTGGAATGATTTAGTGATGATGATCGATGATAAGAATGTATAAATAATAATAATAATAATAATAATAATAATTAATAATAATGATAATTAAACTTAATAATAATATTAATAGATAATAATAATAATAATAATAATAATAAATGAAATCGAGAGAGACAGAGCGAGAGAAAAAGAGTAAGGAGTGAAGACAGTGGAGAGAGAGAGAAACAGTGACTGAGAGAAATAGAGAGAGAAGAGAGAGAGAGAGAGAGGAGAGAGAGAGAGCGACGAGAAGAGAGAGGAAGAGAGAGAGAGAGAGAGAAGAGAAGGAGAGCCGAGAGAGAGCGAAAGAGAGAGATGAGAGAGAGAGAGGAGAGAGAGAGAGAGCGAGAGAGAGAAGATGAGAGAAGAGAAAAAGAGGGATCATTAGTATTTCAAGGTGGCATTTGTTATTCTGATATATGCGCACGTCTAATAGTATGTTTAATGGCAAAATTAGTTTCGGTTCGGATTAATATAATTTCGATTTAAATGCCCGTAAAATGTTTGAGCAAAATCACTACCAAAACCCCTGCCGGTCTATAGCCGTGCATCATAGAGAACACCTTAATTACCCCCAATAAGGGGTGGTGGGATAGCGGAGAGGGGCAACGCGATAATATATAGTGATAATAATATATATTATATAGCAGAGAACACGGCGGTAGAATGCCACCCGCGGACTGGGAAAACAAACAACTTTTGCCCAATCAACAACGTTTGCACAGCGCCAAAAAAACTCTCTCTTTCTATCTCTCGGTGCGCGCGTGGTGGTTGATGTGCCCCGCCATAATGACGTGTAACTACGTCACAATCATCACGTGATCCGTCGGCTGCCGTCTGCGACAATGCGCGGCGACGTTTCCCGACGACGACATCAAAGCCGTGCGCATTGTTGACACACTGTGGCGGTGTTCGTGCATGCGAACAACGCGGCAGACGCGTAATGAGAAAATCCGCCGTGATTGTCGCAGATAGTGGGTGTGTACGCTCGCGTCGGAGAGCGACGGCCAATCAGCGGTGCAGGTGGGGAGGCTGTACTGCAGTCGGGTGGGTGTGTGTGTGTGGACCTGTTTACTATTACTATTACTATTACTGTAATGCCATGAGATAATGCAGATAGCGGAGTGAGGAGAGAGAGAGCGAGAGGGAGGGAGGGAGGCAGGTAGGCAGGGAGGGATGGAGGGCGGGATGAAGGAAGAGGAAAAGGGAGCGACGAAAATAGGGAGGGGTAGGGTGGAAGGGGAGCGGAGGGGGTGAGAGGGAAGGGAGAGGGAGGGTGGGAGGGAAGGAAGAGAAGGGGAGCGAGAAGGGTGGAGGGAAGGAAGGAGGAGGGGAGTTGAAAGAGGGAGAAAAACGGAGAGGGAGGGCATAGACAGCGCCAGGGGGGAGATGTGGCTGAGGAAGGAAGGAGAAGGCAGGGAAAAGTACGGCGGTGACCTCACATCCGCGCCGCGGGACCTCACTTTCCGCTCCACATGACCTCACTTCCGTCTCCCGCATGACCTCACTTCCGTTTCCGCTTGACCTCGCCGCCAGCGCCACACGACCTCACTTCCGCTTCCGCTTCTTGCAGCGAGCCGGGAGGCTGCGGTCTCCCAGCGCACGGAGCGGGCTCGTTCGGCGGCGGGCGGTCCGGTTCACTATCAGTCCGCTCCTGCCGCCGCGACGGGGAAGCTGCGGGAACTGCGCCTGCAGCTCGCGCGCGCCGCCCCAAGGACCTCAACCACGACTGGATCTGGGGCGGCTGCGGCGACAACCTCGAGTACGGATATCGCTTCACCGAGGGCTTCGTCGACGTGAAGGAGCGGGAGATCCAATCACCAGACAGGGCACGCGCGAGCCAGGGTAAAAGCTTTCTGATGAACCTGCACAACAACGAGGCCGGCCGCAGGGTGAGTATAGCTGCTGCGGCTGCTGCTGTTAGTTAATTTTTATTATATAATCTTATGTTGACATCGGATATTTATCCTTTAGGAACGCAGCGTGGGTAGTTGTCGTCGTCGTCGTCGTCTGTCGTCGTCGTCGTCGTTGTTGTTGTTGTTGTTGTTGTTGTTGTTGTTGTTGGTCGTAGTCGTAGGAGCGGTAGAAAGAGACTCTCTTGGGTTTATATATTATTATATAATTATTATTACTATGATTGATATATGGTGAATAGAGAGAGGTTTGTTATTTGCCTGCACGCCCAAATTATAACACAGTAATACTATATATATATCATATTATGCATATATATATATAAGCGTATCATATTATATATAATGCCGATTTAAATATAAAAAAAGTAGTTAACGGTCTGTTTATGTTTTGACCTTTCATATTTTTATTAATTAATCTCATTATTAATCTGCCATACTACTGTCTAAATTAATTGGCGGTTAGGTGTCCAGTGAGGAGGAACTTAAATATAAGGTTATGATAATATATATATATAAATATATAATATATATATAATATATATTAAATGTTAAAATCATGCTAAATTATTTATTTATTGTATAGTGTTTGATTAGCTATTAAAATCTATATATACTATATATATTATATTATATTATATATACTATGGCATAAATCAAGAAGTCAAAGGTATAGAATGAAGGGGGGGTGGTTGTAAAGTTTAATTGAACGAGCTTTCGAGATTTACATCTCTTTCATGCAGGTCAGCAGACATGATCTGATTTCATTTCATGATCTGCATTTCATGTCAGTATTGATCGAAAATACATGGTCTGCTGACTTGATGAGAGATGAATCTCGAAGCTCGGTCAATTAAACTTTAAACACTCTTAGCTATAGTGCCTTGACTTTGTTTTTATCAACCACGGGTGTTTTGTGTGACTTTACTTATATATATATATACATATATAACTGCATATGATAATGCTATAAAATAATTTGCCATAAGCGGCCTGTAGTCAGTCCTCAGCAGTAAGTCAGTCACCACCCCTACACCGTATAACGACTATAGGGATCTATGTGGAACACGCCTGCAGTAAATCTATTAACGTGGCCTCGATCAGGCTGTAGCCCAGCCCTTCACACGCGCCACCGCACCTATCTACTAGGCCTGCTCAAGCGTTCTAACACTCACTAAGCCTCTATAGTTACCCGCTGATCAAGAATTCTAACAGTCACTATATGCCATCTACTATAGTACATACTACATATACTAGTATATGGGACCGGTGCTAAAGTGCTCTAATAGTCAATAAACTATGTATAAGTTACTATTGGTTAGGTATTGTGACACTCACTAAACTATGTACAAGTTACTATTGCGTTGTTTGGTATTGTGACACTCCACTAAACTATGTATAAGTTACTATTGGTTAGGTATTGTGACACTCACTAAACTATGTATAAGTTTACTATTGGTTAGGTATTGTGACACTCACTAAACTATGTATAGTTACTATTGATTATGTGTTGTGACACTCACTAAACTATGTATAAGAGTTACTATTGGTAGGTATTGTCGACCTACTCATAAACTATGTATAAGTTACTATTGATTATGTGTTGTGACACTCACTAACTATGTATGAAGTTACCGGCTGATCAAGTGTTCTAACAAGTGTTCTAACAAGTGTTCTAACATTCGCTAAACAATGTATAAGTTACCAATCATTAAGCCTTTTATCTCTTACTAACCTCTGTATGAGTTACCACTGGTTAAGCGTGGTTAAAACTCCTTAATCTATATGTATAATTTACCGCCTGTTGCGTTTTCTGTCTAACACTCAATAATCTATGTATAAGTTAGCACTGGTAAAGAGTTTTCTCATATTCGCTAAACTATGTATAAGTTAGCACTGGTCATTCTTCGCCTCTTCACACTCTTCAGGTACTACCTCATGTATAAGTTACTGCTGGTAAAGTCTCTCTAACATTCAACTAAGCCGCATACAAGCTGCGGTCACACGTCATAAAAGCTGACCGCGAGGCGTATATTAGCTCTTTATCCTGCCGCCGCCACTGCCGCCGCTGCTGATGACCGCTGCTGCTGCTGCTGCCGCCGCCGCCGCCGCTGCTGATGACCGCTGGTCAATAATTTACTGGTCAGCACGTTGTTTCCCCTGTGGCGATTGCTTGGCCGAAATGCCGCCGCTCCTGCTGCCGCTGCCGTGTATGAGAGATTGTTGCCCGTAGCGGTCGCTAACTCGTTGACCGTAAACAATGACCACTACCGACCCCCCAGCGGTGGCATTAAATGACCACTAGTACCTATAGGCAGAGGTGTACTAGTAGATAGTGGTGGACACTGGTCGCTTAACCGACAGTGTGGAAACAAGAAATTCCGAAAAGGAGAGCGATACGGAGGAGAGGGGGGTGAGAAAGAGTACAAGAACAAGAAGGAGGAGGAGAAGAAGAAGAAAAGGAGGAGAGGGAGGAGAGGGAGGCGAAGGGGGAAGAGGAAAAACTAAATAACAAGGTGAAGGAAGAGAAGGAGAAGGCTTCGAATGTGGGAGGAGGCGAAACGGCAGATGGAGGAGCTGGGAGGAGGAGAGGGAGGAGAAGAAGCCGCAGCAAGAGATACCGCGCACGTGTCCGACAGAAGTTTCTCCCCCTCCCCGCAATAATCGCTGCCTGTAACATCCGCGGCGTTACATCGACACATAAGCGCTCCACTGTCCACGCTTAGATGTGTGGCAACCATCAGCAGCAGCAGCAGCAGCAGCAGCAGCATCAGTACCAGATGATGTCCTTCTGTGCTATAAAACCATAAAAACACCGCTCGCTCTCTCTCTCTCTCTCTCTCTCTCTCTCTCTCTCTTTCTCTCTCTCTTTCTACATCTCTCTCGTCTTCTTCTTTCCTTCCTCTCTCTTCTCCTCTCTCTTTCTCTCTTCTCTCTCTCACTCCTCTCTCTCGCGGCTGCTCTCCTCTTTCTCTCTCTTCTCTCTCC